TATAGTTGCCATCAGCAGAGTGCTCAATGGCAATCAAGCAAGAGCGAAGTAAAACAAAAATTAAGACTTCAACAGTAGGTTTGATTAGACATTTTATTACTACAGTATTTAGTTTCTTGCTACACATACTTGGTCCAACACTCTTCAGATAATATTGCCTAATAACTAAGACAGATTATTAACACAGATTAATTATAAAACTGAGCATGTGCAGAGTAAAAGCGGTAATGCAAAGGTAGCGGTAGGTTATGATCATAGTATATGCATATTAATTTCATGTTATATTTATCTGTTATACAATACCAAATTTGTTGGCTCATGAGTTCTTCTCGCAACAACTAGAACAAAAGAAATTCGTATAATGGTCTTTTATGGTTGTCGTATAATCTGAATAAAAAAAATATCTAACAATATTGAATGTAAGGAGAATAAAACTAGTTTTTATCAGCTTTCATTTAGACACATCAAAATCAAAAATCAAAATGATTCTGAATAAAAAAAAAATTATTTAAAAAACATTGAAGTGACTTTATTAATAAATTTATAACCTTAAAATTACCCCCCGCCCCCCACCATTGATCGACGTGTTTATTCGGATACATCGTGCGTATAGTCTCAGGTACACATCGTGCGTATAGAGTACCAGGTACACATGTGCTATAATGATAATAATCACAAAAACAACCGTATATACTGTATACACTCTTTCATTTTGGTCAAGATTAGCCAACAGGTCAGGGATTTTAAATCAGCGAACAATAATACACACCCGTTTGGACAGGGTAAAAAAAAATAATAAAAAGGATACAGTAATAAAAGGAGGATAAGAATTTAAACAATGCATTAAGGCAAATAAAATGCATGAACCTAATTTCTCGCATCCCTGCCAAACAAGGTTAGAGGAGCGCATTGTATGTCGAACAGTGGTGGCGCTAGTCAATAATAATAATAAAACCCACGATGGAGGAGGAGATATGATGATTAGTGATGGTGTGGACTGTTAATGATAATCACTGTTTGTCATGATGGTGAAAGAGATGAAGTTTATTATATAACATTAATGGCGACAATAATTGTAATTGTGGAGATGGTGATAATAAAGAGATAGTGGTGTAAAACAAAATGAAGTAGTCATGTGCATGCCGCTGATGCATTCATCCAAGCTACCATGTTTTGAGGGCGGAATGAATAGAGCTTACATCATTATTAAATAGGCCAAAGTAACCAAACACGTGTAATGATATCATGTACACTGTGTGACGAACCTGGACGAACTTATTGAATGGAGACTTCCAATTATAGATAGCACCACATGAATCTTCTAACCAATCATGCGTCGTATTAACGTGGCTCATATTGAGATGGTGACGTCATGATCAATTTCGAGCAAGAATTTTATCTTAATCCTGCTGAAAAAATAAAGTCTAATACTCTTGATATTAAAAGAAAACTCCTAGTCCCACGACATTATATATCTCTATATAAGGGTTCAGATCATTACGTAACATCATGTCGGCCTATCTGTAAAGGTCACATGACCTCTCTACAAAACCACGCAGTGGATTGAACAATGTAAGTTGTCCTCAATGCTGAAAGTACCATATGTTGGATTAATTAATATCAACGTGAGCATAATTCATAACGATAACCCACGATCTGTGATTGATATTCAAAATTTGCATCACGTTACCTTTGAATGTACTTTATAATAATGGACAAATGGTACTACTACGAATATGGATGAAAACTCCAGCGGCCACGAACGTGTGGTATTCCAATAATAAGAGTAATGATAGAGATGATGATGATGATAATAATAATAATGATAAAGATATGTTAAAAATGATGATGATGGTGGTGGTGGTGATGATGGTGATAATGACCATGATGACAATAATAGGTATAGACTCCATAGAGTCACCGAATAGGCCTACTACACCCAATGCGTTTGCGGGCGATTCCATTATTCCTTTTATGCTTGAGGGGTAAGTTTCTGAAAATGTTTCAAATTGCTGTTTACTTAAACCTGGCCGTTGACCTTTTCAACTAAAACTAGATCACCTCTTCCTTTAGATTATTATGTACAACCTCACTAAATGTTATGATAATCAGTTTATTAGTTTATGCGTAATATTGATAACAAACAGACAAACAAACAGCGATGAATACATTATTTTTGGCAAAGGTAATAAAATGGTGAAATAATGGATTATGACGATGTCTTTATCGTCTGCTTTTACATAACGACTTAATCCACCACGCGCAGATGAAAGGATGTTGAAGAGAACAAGATGATCACAACGCAGCGCTGTCTAACATTAATCATTTTGAATGCACTTATTATTCTAGGGAGCGATGACGTCTGATTAAAATATCTTTGAGCAGAAAGTATCAACCACTGTTATCGAATGAGCTGCAAACTACGGATTGCTTATAAAAAGCAAATGGATTACTTACGATGGAACACTGACGTTTAATTCAATTTTGAAAACGAAATACGTACCGAGGCTACTAATGGTGTGTTACACAGCAAGCGAAGATCACTTTAAAAGGATATCTTTTGATCACTCTCCAAACATTGGCTACTTTTCTAACCATGCAGAGAATTTACATTATCATTAAGATACTGATTTAACTGATACGCAATACCGACAATGTGTATGCTTATTTAGATATATTTTCTTCAATTACTTATACATGCAGTAATTTGACTTTATTATGCCTATTGTAGCTTTGATACCTCATTGATTTGATATGGAAAAGTAACTACACCAGTGATAAAGACGATGATTGAGAGATTCGAAGTGCGAACACAAGAACCCATGTGTATAAGAGACAGCCCCCATTACTGTTCAGATTCGCTCAACTGAGATATGAGGCAACGTTTGTATACTTTAGATTATTTTTCATAGAGTGATGAGTCTGGCAGACAAAAAAAAATAATTTAATAACATACAATGACCTTATATATAAATATAAGTATATATAATATTATTATATAATAAAAAATATATAGGCCTAATGCATATACACAGCGGCCTTAATGCATGGAGAAGTTAAATTAATGTTCTCCATAAAAAAAAAATACATAGGGCCTAATGTATATATACACTTGTTGCTAAATATTGACTACCATATTCCAATTGATTTTCTATAAAATTAATGTTAAAGCCAGCATTACTGCCAGTACAGTATAAATAGCTTCAGCTGAAAACTCTGCCTATTGCAGTATACGTGCATATTATTTTGATAACAAAATATGACATCAAACTAGCGCATAATATGGATGTGTAATATCAAGCATAAATAGACCTTAAACATATTTCATAGTAAACAGTAAAGTACGTAGAATTTAGATCGATAATTATGATAGAAACATCTGTTGCATGGAATTATAAATACGACTCGTCTTTACTCGAGTAATCAGAATTGACCA